CCCAAAAATTTGTAATGAAATGAATAGTTATACCTAAATAAGATTGACTAGTTATAGAACAAGTCCAAATGTCTGTAATCAATGCAATTTTTGAAGTAAAGCTATTAAGATAAGTATAAATATCTTTTTTATAATCAGTAAATCAGATGATTACATCATTCTTTATTGTCTTTCTACATGATATAACATAACGAGAATCTAATGAATGTATTAATTTCTTGAACTCAACTTGCTCAACAACTTTAAAAGGCTGTAAATTAACAGCAATCCAGTCAACCAAATTAGTTGTAATGTGTGATTGTTCATTTTTGGTATAAGGTTTAAATGATATAAAGTGAATTTTGTTTGTTTGTTAGAAATATTAAATGTATATGTTATAGTATATTTTTTTTTGTAAATGGCGGCGTAAAGTAGAAGTAGCACAGGTAGCAGCAAAAGTTGCATGAAATAATTTGCATTTTTTTGATTTAAAACATTATTTTCATCAATTATTTTCTGAAAATAATTCCAAACATCAGAAACAACTTTAATTTTTTTGTCTAAAGGTTGAGAATGTATGGAAGCTAAGGAAAGAAAAGAATCAGCTTTGCTAATATTATCAGACGATATCTTTGATTGATAAATTCAAAATTTGTTACACTTGGCGTAATTTATCATTTATATTAACACGTAAAACACGTCTATCAATAAAAAAGGTTTAGGATGATCAATAAGACGATAAGACTATCTATTATAAGACTGTTAAAAAAGACTGATCCTATGATCGATCCTATCAATCTGTCTTAAAAAAGATTGATACAAGACCAGTCTTATGACTGGACCAATGGTCTTTCGGTCTGGATCAGATCATTCCCATCCCTAAATACATCAATCAATTATTATGATCAACTGTTTTAAATCGAACAAACACTTAGTACTTATTTGTTTATTTTTTATATGTTTATCATAAAGAAAGGCAATATCTTTTTTCCGTTACATACATTTCAAGGAATTTTCATGAGTGTTCGAACCTAACACTAACATGTAACTAAAAATAATGTTTCTTCAGAATCTCATTAGTGTATTAATTAATATTTGCTACCACCTCTATTTGCATCACTGCTACTACTGCCAGCACCACTATGACCAATATTTCCAAGTTATTGTTTTCTTTGAGCGTTCAGTTTTGAACATTCGGCGATATGATATTTAAGACCGTCACAATATGTATAACCTGTGGAATTTTATTGTTATCAGCATCATGATATTTGATATAAATTGAGTAGATTTATAATGAATTTTTCTGTTAGATCCTCTAAAACTTCTAGTACAGGGAGAACTCGTTGTTTGGCTTCCCACAGTAAATGTTTCAAATCAAGTAAAATCTGCTTAGAACAATTCATATTAATAAATGTTGTGTTTTCTCTGAACGACTCATACGACCAATTTTATATACTAAATTATTATTAATTTTTTTTGTTAATGAAAAATAATATTTAAAAATATTTTTTTTTTAACGCAAATACATACCATAATTTTCAATTTCTTCAGCATATCATAGTTTATAACATATTGAATATCCAAAAAATCTAAACATTTTGAAGCAACATCAGAAACAACCAAAACATTTTTTTTGTATTCTTTAAATGCTTATATTGCAAATTTACATTTTCTTAGCCTAATATATATTATTTACATATGAGATATTTTTTTAAAAAAATTATTCTGTTAAATAGTTTTAAATGTCATGTTACAAACTATATACATACTCTTACCTCCGTGGATAGCTACAGCCTCAACTCCTTTTACCAATAGATATTCATGAATATCGTCCACATCATTTTTATTCTTTGCAAAAATAAGTATCTAAAAAAAAGATGCCAATATAAATATCAATCTGTGATCTAAAATATATACTAATCACAAATAACTTGCAAATAGTTACAGGTGGTGGCATCATTTGTAAACATTCTAAGAGATACACAATCTTCGCTTCCTGCTTCACATATTTTACCTCTTAAATAACATCCAAATTTGCAGCGCCTGCATGACAAACATTGTAAAATCTTGAATATTTTTTGGCATAGTGGCTGAATATAGTAAGGTTTGGCATTGATTCTAGTTTGAATTTATTAATTTAATTATCATAAATAGTAAAAGACATAAAATTAAACAAAGATTATAATAATTTTACCGTAAAGTAAGATATGATATTTCTAACATCATCCTCAAATTATGTCAATCATCCTATCAGCCTCATCCAAACATAAAAATCTAGATCACAAATTCATAATTAGAAAAATTCATCCACTATAAAATGTGACCCCTATAGCAAAAGGAGATGTGCAGGTCAATCAGATTTCGAGATTTCATGATGAATATATATACTAATAACCTAATCTTTCAGAGAATATTTATTTCCAATTGTAAAAAGGACATGATTTTTGGAAAAAACAAAATTGTTGCTTTTCATCATAAAAAAAGGTGGCATATTTTAATAAAGATTTAGCTACATTCTTATTAAATGGAAATTGAAACTGTTTTGAGAAGTCTACAGTAATCTTAAATAATGATTACAAGATTTAAATTGATTTTCTTTACCATCCCTCTTTGCTTGCGAGAAGTCTCAAATATAACAAAATTAAAGGTTGAACATACTTACAAAAATCCAGATTAAATTTCTTCTTTTCTAACATGTCTATTGATCTGCCTGGAATCGCAACTACAATATGTATTTCTTCTACTAAGATATTCTGTTGATCTGACACATATATACCACTGATACATAACAAAAGTTGCAACTTTAGATAATCATTCCAAACTAAAAGTCAATTGTTAAGCAGATTCCTTTATGAGTTTGTCTTGCCAATTCATGCTAATTTGATTAAATATAAAACTTTTTTATAAATAATTCAAGTATCATTTGTTTTAAAAATAAATAAATTATTTGTTTAATAATTGCTAACCGATGGACAACAATCATTCTGATTGGACCTTCTCTTTTAATAATGGTAATTTATATTCTTCTTTCAAAGCAAACATCAACAATGATAGAGAAAAAGCCAAGATTTTATCAGATCCTGTAAATGTAATTCCATTCATGTCTCTTCCAGCTAATCTAAAAAGTAACAATAAGAAATTCAAAAACAGTTAACACTTGATACGAAATATAAAGAGATAATATATGAATAATCTCATTAAATTTTCTTACACAACAGGAAAACCTTAAACTTGAATAGGTGTAGGTCAATGAATTTTTTTTAGATTTCAAATATTTTAACATAGCAGAAGGAAATTTCATATCCTAATGGAAAGTTAGTAATGATTTCTTTGATTTATAAAGTTAAAGTATATAAATACATATATCAAAGATGTATCCTAAAATGTTTTATTAGTGGAGGAATATCTTCACCTTTCACAAGAATATGATATCTCTGATGAATTGTATCATATACAGATTGAGCTCTCTCACGAATGTGATGAGGTAGTTGCCAACTAAATAAGAATTAACCATTAATAGTAAATTAACATAAATAAATAATTAATTTGAAATGTACTTACATCATTTTTATTAGTTTAGTATAAATAATTCCTTTCACGAGTTCTCGATCTGATGCTAAAAGCTTTTGTTGAACAATAGCTTCCATAATAGCTCTTTCCTCCTCAAGTTTCTTTTCAGAATCAGTTTTGAAAGAATCTTAAAAAAAGAATAAAATTAGTTCAATCATAGCATTGATCAAAGACATGATAAAAGGAACTTTTACCTTCTATTATTTTTTGCTTTTTAACCTTCACAGCTTAATCAATCAAACTAATATTTCAGCTTTAACTGATTCTTCAATTTCATCATCAACTTCACCATCTTTTTACGAATCAGAAAGATATCTTTGACTAGCAAATTTTTGAAGCTTTACTTCTCTTCTTTGCTTAATTGAAATATAAGAAACATATTTATCTTCTTCGAGATCTAAAACTTTTTTTTTCTGAAGTGAGTTGGTTTTTGTCATTTTCCAATTTTTACAACTAAAATAATTACACTTAGTTTTTATTTATTTTATTATAACTGAATTTTTCCAATTTTGGCCAAAATTATGCAGATCTTTCCAAGAACCCAACTTCTGAACTTCTAATTTTTTTTATTTTAGTTATAATCTGAACTTTTTTTTACAAGAACATAAAGAAATTTCAATTATTTATTATATTTCAGGTTATATTAATGTAAAATTATTACATTTGTTTTTTCTATTTATAATTTTAAAGCTTTTCCAACTTATAAATATTTAACTTTTTTATAATTAAAAAATTAGTATTAGCTAGTATTATTACTATTACAAGCTATTTAGCTTTTTTTCCTAAAATTTTAAAAACTATAAAATGGTTAATATAAAGATCTTGATTTTGTTAGTTGAAATAATTAGCAACTTGTTGCTATATTTTATTTTTATTTTCAGATTTTACAACATATATGTATATTTGTTGCTTGAGTACACATTTTTTTTTGCATTTGAAATAACTAGTATATTAAAGAAAAAATCTTCAATATATTTACTAAATACAAGTCAAACGCTAATAAATCAGATACCTTTTCAATTAGTTACTATTTTTGATAGGTAATCAATAGATAGAAATCAGTAGATACTACAATCAGATATGAATCAGTTAATACTGATTCATAATAATTAGATAGAATTACATAAATCAAGTCTTAACCCAATTTTATACTTATTTTAAAAAATTGTAAACTATATGTTCAATAGTAACCAATCAGATTCAATTAACAATTAGTTATCAATCAGTTTAATACCCGATTGATGAATATTATTTAATTAGAATTTCTGATTGGTAACAATTCGCTAACAAGTTTTTTAACAATTCTTAGTAAAATTCATAAAAATAACGAAATTGTCAATTATTAAAATTTGTTAATATTAATATATTTTTGTCAGTTTGCTATCAATTTGTTAACAAATTTTTGTTAATAATTAGCACATTTTCGTTAAATTATTAACAAATTATTATTAATAATTAACACATTTTCATCAATTTGTTAATGAATTTTCATTAACAATTTGCACATTTTCGTTAATTTGTTAACGAATTTTTATTAACAATTAGTACATTTTCATCAAAATATTAACAAATTTTTACTAATAATTGACTCGTCAATTCGTTAATAAAATTCATTAACAATTAACATATTTTTATCAATTTGTTACAAATTTTCGTTAACAATTGGCATATTTTTGTTAAATTATTAATGAATTTCATTAACAATTCCCTATAAGAAATCGAAATAAGGAAATGATACGTTTTTTTTAAGGTTTGTATACGTAATTAATGATTCTATATC